AAAGTTACACAGACATAGATAATAATAATAATAATAATAAACTCACCCCCTACCCTTGAAGCCCACCCCTAATTCATAACTATTCTCAGTTTGGAACAATCAAAAAAATAATTTTCACTGATTTTCGAAAATATGAAAAAAAAAATTTTCTATGATAACTAAGTATTAATACTGAATATAAACAACCCCTGAAAAACAACCCTTAAGTCAAATAACCACCCCTTAATGATAAATGTTTTTTTGAATAAATGAAAAAAATTATATGGATTCTAAGTGCTTCTGAATTGTAAAAAAGTATTTCAATGTTTCACAGATATGGATAATAATAATAAACTCACCCCCTACCCTTGAAATCCACCCCTAATTCATAAGTTATAAGATACTGAATTCAGTTTTCAACAATCAAAAAAATAATTTTCACTGATTATTATCATATTGAGAAATGCATTGAGTACATACTCAATGCACTCCCCTCCACGATGGCGTAGAGGGGAGTGCATTGGGTAAATGAAAGGGGGGGTACGACAGTAGCAAAGAAGCTCCCATGTGGAACTGCTGTTATAAGGCAATCAGCGCGTCGTTTCGTTTTCTCTGTGTAGCGTTCTCCCACTACCTCACCGACTGAGCCTGGGTCTGTAATTTTCATTTTCATACTAAACTCCTAACAACAAGCACTAAAAGCTACAAAATTAATAGGCAATAATGACACCAGCATTATTTTGCAATTTTAAAAACTGACATCATATTCGTAATTATCGACCCCGAAAACCCCTGAGTAATAAGTTTCAGATGAATCTAATGAAAGTTAATCATTTCGTCCGCCATATTGGATCCGCCATTTTCAATTTTCTAAATCTGATATCGGATTCGTAATCAGCGACCCCGAAAACCCCTCAAGTGACAAGTTTCACATGAATCTAGTGAATTTTTATATTTATCGGTCGCCATATTGGATCCGCCATTTTGAATTCTTAAAGACGGACATCGGATTCGTAATCAGCGACCCCGAAAACCCCCAAGTAACAATTTTCAAGCGAATTTATTAATTTTTAAAGGTTTTGGTTTTTAGGGGTAGTTTTAGTTATTTTTCTGCACCCTCGGGTTGAATTTTTAATATTAATTTTTTTTTACAAAGGTTGCAATATTTTTAAACATATGTTACTATGAAAGCCTGAAAAAAATTTGTTCTGAAATTTATACCTGTTTTTTCATTTTTCGGGTTTTTTGAAGGGGTGTATTTCAAAGAGGGTAGTTTTTTAAAAAAATACATGTATTTACATTTGTTACTCTATCCCTCCCCTTGAAAATGAGATCTTAGTGGAGTTAATCGATTAAGTTTTAAGAAAGTTATGATTTTTTGAAGTAGGTGGGACGTATGTGTCCCACTGGCCATGAAAGGGTTAAAATTACTCTATTTTTAAAAAGTTACATATAAACAATTTTTATCAATTTTTTATGGTTTTTTTTTATTATTTCTTGTTGCTTTTTAAATTTTTAGTTAGGAACCTATAATATTGTGCCTAATTTTAAGTATCATTGAAATCAATTGTTTTTAACTTAGTAATTTTAACATTTCGTTTTTTAAAACGAAACATCTTCTATTATATTAAGTTAACAAATTTCCAAAAAGGACACCGTCCCCGTGACCTCGACACCGTCCTTGGAAAATCTATTTTCACTTATTTTCAAATAAATCAAAATACTTTGCCATATGCTTTTAGAAAATCTTACATACTTTTTTTTTGTAACATGTTTTTTAATTTTAACCCGAAAAAAGGGTTATTTTGCAATTTTATGCAATTTTTTACGAATTTTTGGATATATACCTTTAAAATTACTCTATTTTTAAAAAGTTACATATAAACAATTTTTTTCAATTTTTTTAAATTATTTATTGTTGTTTTTTAAATTTTTAGTTAGGAACCTATAATATTGTGCCTAATTTTAAGTGTCATTGAAATCAATTGTTTTTAACTTAAAAATTTTAACATTTCTTATTTTAAAACAAAACATCTTCTATTATATTAAGTTAACAAATTTCCAAAAACGACACCGACCCCGTGACCTCGACACCGTCCTTGGAAAATCTATTTTCACTTATTTTCAAATAAATCAAAATACTTTGCCATATGCCATATGCCTCTATAAGCAAATAAGGATTATACGGCACAACAAATCTATTATCTGCTTTTCTATTTTTGTTTCATAGAATTGAAATTATTCTCAAAACATAGATGGACACCTGCATCCTGTATCACATAGCACAATTATCGCTTTTACATTGACTACAATCATCTGTCATATTTTTATTGTGCCTAAAAAAAAAATTAAAAATTCTTTTAAATATTGTTGCAAATTATGTAGAAGACTTTTTATAAAACTGTTGGAGAGTATTTAGTTTAATTTTGTAGGTGTAGATGACGTCTTCCAAAAGGAACCTTTTTTGGTGCACTTAATTCCGGACAACAAGTAATATATGTAAAATCAAACAAGAATCTCTTTATAAAGGTTTACTCTGGATAATAAAAATAAAAACCGATATTTTAAAAGGTTTTTCGATTTATTACGAACATTTTTCTCAAAAATTTGCAAAATCTCCATGTGTTTGTGGGGCAATTTGCAGCAATATAATATAATATAATTTAAGATAAAAAAATATATTATAATATAATATGATATATTATTATATAATATAATATATTATAATATAATATAATTAATATTGTTGTCATATTTATAATAAAAAACATCTAATATTTAACAATTGTCATTTCATTCTTCAATGATACTGATCAAAATTAAGATAAATTTTATACAATATTAATAAGATATTAATTTAAAACATAAATTATATATATAATATTCATAAACTACAATAAGTAAACAACAATAAGTACAACTATAACCGAGCAGGCGTTAGCGAGCGAGGAATACATCGCTAGTAAATAATAATATTATGAATAATAACACAGCCACACAAAAAAAAGTTTTGATCTGGGGGTCTGACTGTACCTACTTTATGTTTTTTGGGTCGCTGAAGAATTTGAAGTCACTTTTCAAAAATTCAAGATGGCATCGTAACAAATTTCTTAGGTGTATCTGCAATGATGGCATTTTTCGAAAAATTGTCCACCATCTTGTATCCACCATCTTGAATTTTTGAAAACTGACTTCAAATTCGTAATCAGCGACTCCGAAAACCCCAGAGTAACGAGATTCATGCGATTCTGATGAATTATTCGAAAAAGTGTCCGCTATCTTGAATTTTTGAAAACAAAGTTCAAATTCGTAATCAGCGTCTCCGAAAACCCCCGAGTAACGAGTTTCATGCAATTCCGATGAATTTTTCGAAAATGTGTCAGACATTTTGGATCCGCCATTTTGAATTTTTGAAAACTGACATCAGATTCGTTATCAGCGACCCCAAAAACCCTCGAATAAAGTGTTTTTTTGAGGTTATCTCAAAATCCTTATCTGATGGGGTAAAACGGACCTTGAATTCGGATTCAGCGACCCAAAAAACATAAAGTAGTTGGGACTGTACTCGGTCCAAACACAGTCCACACAATCCGCCAGGGATTTAAGAAAAGATTTTTTATGCAAGTTATTTTAATAAGAAAACAAAGTCAAATTCAGAAAGAAAAGGTTGCTTAAGTTCTCTAGATTTTAGCATTATAGATACTGTAGGAGAAATGTTAAATAACAATCATATTAATGAATTTGCACAACTATTGCAAAGAGTATCACAATCAGTTTTCGATATGCAAAACTCTTTGTATTTGCAAATTCTTGATTTAGTTATTCCGATTAACAGAAATCAAAAGCATATTCGAATACATTTTAGTGGTTCTTGTAGTCTTGGTCATTGGTTTTGTACTTAGTATGATGGATTAAGACTTTATATTTATGATAGTCTTAATGAAGGTTGTTTAAATGAGGATCAAATAAAATATTTAGAAACATTATATCCCTTTAAACCAACCGTAGGTTTTGCAAAAGTTCATCAACAACCGAATGGTGTTCATTGGGGAATATATAACGTCTGAAACTAGAAACTTAATTATTGAAAACGATTGAAAGCGACTTTCTATTGTCCACATCGATGAATTTAAGTGCAAAAATCAGAATTTATCCCTTTTTCCTAAATCGATGGAGCAATTAGATTTAAAATTTCCACTGTAAATAAACAAAAAAAAAACCTTATACTTTAAAAGATAAAGAAAGAAAAAAAGGCTACGTTTCAGGAAACAATAGAACAAAAAATAGAAAGACAAGAAAAGGATAGGCAGAGAAAACGTAATCGACAAGAAACAAAAATAGAAAAGAAAGAGCGTCAAAACAGAAATTTTCTATGTAAAAAAATATTAGAAACAGAAATTGAAAAAAACAGCGTCTAGAAAACGATTTAAAACGAATATATGATAAAATTATAACAGAAACAGAAAGTGGAAAAAAAAGAGCGCCAAGAAAGGAATTCAGAATGTAAGAATAAAAAATTGTTTTTAGAAACAGAAATCGAAAAGAAAAAGCGTCTAGAAAATGATTTAATGCGTAAAAATGTAAAAATTTTGACAGAAACAGAGGTAGAAAAAAGAGCGTCAACAAAGGAATGTGGTATGTAAGAATATTAAATTTTTATTGAAAACGGAGGTTAATAAAAAAGAGCGTCAAGAAAAAGATTTAACCATAAATAAAAAGAATACTAAAAAGTTAGAAACATTAGGAACTGCAATTATATCTTTCGATGAATTTGATGAAAAAAATATTTCTAAAAATTATTTGGGCGAAAGGTCTTCAGATAATAATTTTAATAGCTGTTGTCACAAAGGGAAAGTAAAGTTAAATATGGTCAATTGTATATAATTGATTCAAATTTAGCTGTAAAAGAAAGATTAAATAACGAATATGATAATAAATGTTTGATGAAATTATTATCGAAAATTGATATTTTACTTAGAGATATTAATCCATATGCTAAAGCATTTAAAATGATGCGAGATTTTGCGATTAAAAAGAAGAACAAGCTAAATCATCAAATAAGAAATATTGAAATGTGGATTAAACGCGACAGGTTATTAGATCAAAACAAGTTTAATGTTCCATCTTGTAATGAAGTAGCAATTGTATTTATTAGCGAAGATGGTGAACCTCCTATTGAACGCGATATATGTATACATCCTAAAGATTCCAAACGTATTCCAATTTCCAGCCTCAGTGCGAATGTTGACCCTATGACTTATCCTATAATGTTTCCTTCAGGTGATCAGGGATGGACTGTAAACAGAAAACAAACTCAAGCATTCGCAATATTATTGCCTTACAATATTACATGTTTCGTTTTTCATATAGAAGAGCATTTAATCCATGTTTAGCATTGGGGAAATTAACTCAGCAATATGTAGTTGATGTCTGGTCGAAAGTAGAGGGCAAGCGTATTGAATATATTCGTTTACAACATAAAAAACTTCGAGCAGAATTGTATTGTGGACTAATGGATTTTATTAATAATAAATCAAATGAAGAGAATGTTAGACCAGGAAAAATGATCATTTTACCTTCAACATTTACTGGAAAAATTTAGCAAAATTGGAATTTTTCCATCGGCCATCACACGCTATAGATTTTCCGTACTCTACATAACCTGGTTGCCATTCAGAATAATAAAATAATATACGTTTGAATTCAGTATAAGTCATATTTTTAATATATTTTAAAAATTTTTTTACAAAAACTGTTTTTCCACAACCAGTTGGACCACAAATCATTGAAGTAAATTGATGTTTCCATCGTGTAGGCATTTTGAATACTGAAAGCATTTTAAAAGGTGATTCTTTTTTTATAACAGAAAATCGTAAAGTACGGTACCTATGTTAAGCTTATTTTTAGGTACCGTACATATGCCAGGCCTAATATGTTTATATGAGTCTGGCCATAACACCGACAATACGCTAATTATTCGGTGTTGCGGGAAACTCGCCTCCTATATGCTAGGTTGAGGCCAGTCGCGCCACGCCGGTCCGGGTTTGCCGCCACCGCCATACCCCCACCACAATCTCTCTCTCTCCCTCTCTTATACCTACATTTTCTTCTTCTTCTCTTCGTGTAGAGTTGAGTGTAGTTTTAAATCATTTTAAAACTATTATTAATAACTGATGTTTAAAAAAAATAGATTAAACTATTTCTGAAGTGGTAGGAATGTTAAGAAAAAGGTAGAATAATAAATTCATACACACAAAATTTTCTTATAAAATATTTAGACATTTTAAAATATTTTATTGAAATGAATATTATACAAATGAAAAATCGTTTCAGAAATTTGAAGCATAAATATAAAAAATGTTAGCAGAAAGTAGAGAAATATTCTTTCAGATTTATTAATTTTCTTTTTTTTTATTTTCTGATTCATCTTCTTCATATAATTTTTCTCTTACCTCTGTACTGACCCAAGTAGCACGATATATCAACCAGATGTCAAGGTGATATCACCGGGGAATGTCACCGTGATATCAGGAAAATGTCAAAATGTCCGCCTTACAGTGATATCACACGGTGACATCGAGGTGATATTATGGTGACATCAAGGTGATATCACAGTCATCACGGTAATATCATGGTGATATCACCGTGATATCATGTTGATATTTTACAGGGATTTAAAATTGTTAAAAAATTATTATTTTTTTTATTTATTATTATTTTTTAAATTATTAAAAATTTTAAATCCCTGTAAAATATCAACATGATACAGTAGAATCTCCATTATCCGAGCTTCGATTATCCGAGATTCCGTATTATCCGAGGCACCGAACACGAGGTGCATGCTCGGATAAAACGGATAGAACCGATATGCATTAACAATAATTATTCCCAAAAGTTAATCTACGTTCATTAGATTTCAACTTTTATATACATTTGTGATTAATTTTCTTTGTAGCACATTAAATTCATAAAAAAAATGACTAAAATTTTTGAATTTTAGGTTATTATTCCGTGTTATCCGAGTTTTCGCTTATCCGAGGTGCCTCTTCCCCACGCCTCGGATAACACAGCCACACAAAAAAAAGTACCCGGGCCGGGGAATGAGACTACCATTTATTGATGTATTTTGATGCGCTGAACACGAATCTGAAGTCCGTTTAGCTCCATCACGTCAGGATTTTGACATAACCTCAAAAAACATAGCTGATTTTAAATGACAGGAGAAATTTTTTAAATAATGGCAGATTTGCTTGAATCTTGTTACTCGGGGGTTTTTGGGGTCGCTGATTACGAATTTAACGTCAGATTTATAAAATTCAAAATGGCGTATCCAATATGGCGGACGAATTTTTAAAAAGTAGTTGGATTTTTACGAAAATTGGTATCTAGGGGTTTTGGGAGTCGCTGATTACAAATTTATCGTCAGATTATTCAAATGTAAAATGGCAGATATAGTACGGTGGTCAAATATCTTTATGTTTCTACATGTGTCTGCATCCAGGGCACCTCCACGTGGTGACGGTGGGCAACGGAGTTTGTCCGCTATCCGGCTAAGTCATGGCAGACACACGTAGGAAACGTATTACGATGCAGGGACTCGGAACCCCAGTATCGGCGGTTGAGAGTGAGAAAGCAGGCTCTCAGGCGTCGTCATCCAGCAACTGCAGCTCTTCATTGATGGGAAACTTGGCTAATGTAGAATATAATACGACAAGAAAACAACCTGATATAGACTTAAACTCACATATTTGTAGCAAAAATCGAGACCTTTTTTGTTATATTTGCAGTAAATTCGAGGTAAAGTCTTTGCGGAACAGGATTGACGAAGAAGTACGTAAACTGTATAATGAAATCTTCGGTTTTGAGATTGATCAGATGTCACTGATGTAACGGTGACATACGAAATTTTATTTTTATTTTTAACACTGAAACCTTTTATTTCATTCATACAAAAGTAGCAATCTTCTTCACATGTAGGTTTTGTCCAAACTGTTGGATAAGAGTATTTGATAAACTCCTTATTTTTAACAGATTTCCAACCAAAGATCATCTTTCGGCAACAATTACAAATGATGTTCGGAACCCAATTAGAAGATAGATCAATCTCAAAACCGAAGATTTCATTATACAGTTTACGTACTTCTTCGTCAATCCTGTTCCGCAAAGACTTTACCTCGAATTTACTGCAAATATAACAAAAAAGGTCTCGATTTTTGCTACAAATATGAGAGTTTAAGTCTATATCAGGTTGTTTTGTTGTCGTATTATACTCTACATTAGCCAAGTTTCCCATCAATGAACAGCTGCAGTTGCTGGATGACGAGGCCTGAGAGCCTGCTTAACCGCCGATACTGGGGTTCCGAGTCCCTGCATCGTAATACGTTTCCTACGTGTGTCTGCCATGACGGCATCAATGCCATTATCCAGGGACTTAGCCGGATAGCGGACAAACTCCGTTGCCCACCGTCACCACGTGGAGGTGCCCTCGATGCAGACACATGTAAAAACATAAAGATATTTGACCACCGTACTATATCTGCCATTTTACATTTGAATAATCTGACGTTAAATTCGTAATCAGCGACTCCAAAAAAACCCCATGATACCAATTTTTGTAAAAATCCAACTACTTTTTAAAAATTTGTCCGCCATATTGGATCCGCCATTTTGAATTTGAATAATCTGACGATAAATTTGTAATCAGCGACTCCCAAAACCCCTAGATACCAATTTTCGTAAAAATCCAACTACTTTTTAAAAATTCGTCCGCCATATTGGATACGCCATTTTGAATTTTATAAATCTGACGTTAAATTCGTAATCAGCGACCCCAAAAACCCCCGAGTAACAAGATTCAAGCAAATCTGCCATTATTTAAAAAATTTCTCCTGTCATTTAAAATCAGCTATGTTTTTTGAGGTTATGTCAAAATCCTGACGTGATGGAGCTAAACGGACTTCAGATTCGTGTTCAGCGCACCAAAATACATCAAGAAATGGTGGTCTCATTCCCCGGCCCGGGTACTTTTTTTGGGTGTATCTACTGTATCACGGTGATATCACCATGATATCACCGTGATATGACTGTGATATCACCTTGATGTCACCATGATATCACCTCGATGTCACCGTGTGATATCACCGCAAGGCGGACATTTTAACATTTTCCTGATGTCACGGTGACATTCCCCGGTGATATCACCGTGACATCTGGTTAATATATCGTGCTACTTGGGGAGAAAAGACCCTAAAGTACAAGAAATTTCAAAGAAAACAATTTCAAAATATAAATTAACAAATGTCGAAGATGTCATTTTAGAAACGCCCATCAAAATAGTCCACAATAACGTCAAACTTTTGTTGTAAAGATATCCAATCTTGAAGGCATAATGAAACTTCTCTTGACTTATTGTCAGAGAATCTGACAACAGGTATAAATGTTCCATCCTCTTCCCAAGCAGCACGGTATATCCCCTGAATATTCCACGGTTGTGTTGAATTTTTTTTAAGTGTTGAAATAATAGAAATATGTTATAAATTGTTATTTGAATAAGCAGGAAGATTAAAAACACATTTTTAAAAAAAATTCAATGTAACCATGGAATATTCCCTCAATATCACTGGAATATTTCCACAATATCACCTGAATATCCCTGAATAATGTCACTGGAATATTCCCTCAATGTCACTGGAATATACCCTGAATATCACTATGGAATATTCCCATGATGCGGACATTTTGATTTTCCCAGAAGATCATGAGAATATTCCACTGTGGTATTCAACGGATATTTAGGGAATATACCGTGCTACTTGGGTTGTATTTCCAACCCAGTTGTTGCCTTTTTGAGCATGAATTATTTAACTCATAATATGTACCCAAAATTAAAGGTTGTCGTGATGAAGAATAGTTCATCTTTTTTGAGGAAACATTTTCACTACTAGAATCTTCTGAATGTGTCCTCTTTTTTGAATGAACGATAGTTATAAGGATAATGTATGCATTTTTTTTATTGGTAGACAAAATTTTTTAAAAATGATGAAATATATTTTGCCACAGATGTATTATTGTATTTAAAAACAAATAGTACATCCTGTAGTATACAATAGAAATAAGTAAAGTGCAGAAATATATAACTCATTTGCCAAGGGTCTTGCACTATCTAGCGGTTTGTCTATGATTGCTTTTGCGGAGGCAGAGGTAAACACAAGTCTACACAAATGTTGAGGTTTTAGATATTGCAAATGCATTTTCGTTTACAAATTTACGTGTCTTGTTTACTAATATGATTATGTTTCCTATTTTCTAGCAGCAAAAAATAGAAACACCCATTTTTCTTACGAAAATATAAAAAAATACATATAAGACAAAAGACTTGTCTGTTATATTCAGAGTTGGCATTTGTACTTCTTATACGAAGTAGATACTTGCCAGTGTTTCACTCAGAGTCATAAATTGTTTTTTATATTCAGAGTTATCCCTTCTAATTTTTATTAAATTAAATAGACGGCATGACATAGAGCATATGACTAGGACTAAATGAATTTTATGTGACAACTCACTTCTCCTTGATAGAAGTCACTAGTCTTTATAGTAAATAATAATTTATATTGAATGGAAACATGAAAAATCCAAATATAAAAGACAAGTGATGACTCTGACAATGAGTGAAACGCGGACTAGTAACAACTCTGTATAATAAAAGTACAAGTACCAACTCTGAATATAAAGTACAAGTGCCAACTCTGAATATAAAATACAAGTGCCAATTCGGAATATAAAATACAAGTGCCAACTCTCAAACACGGTCGAGTAACAACTCTGTATAAAAAATACAAGTGTCAACTCTGAATTTGAAAGACAAGTGACAACTCTGAAACACGGACATGTAAGAACTCTGTA